TGGGACCCTGCGTGGTCGTGGCCCCCACGCGTGGCCACCGGCGGCGCGGGGAGGAGGGGGCGCGTCGTTCGGTGTGGCCAAGGGGCGGTCGCCTCCGGGCGGGGTTTCCCGCGTCCCTGCCAAGGTTCCGAGCGCTGTTATTAAACATTGATGGCAGCTGCCGGGTGCCTGCCCGAAGAGGCCTCCCAGTGCGGGGACAGGGTAGGACGCAGATGTCCAGACCGAGTTGGTGGGGTAAGGGGGTGGGTCAGGGCCAGCCAGGGGGAGAGGCTGGTGACAGGGAGGATGGGGAGAGATTCCTGCAACAGAGGACATCAAAGACAAGGAGAACTCTTAGATGTGACACCCAAAGCACAAGCAAGTAAAGGAAAATACATAAATTGGGCTGCATCAAATTCAAAACTTTTCTTTGACAAAGGACACTTAGAAGGAAAAGACGACCCACCGAATGGGAGAAAATATTTACAATTACACAGCTGACGAGAGATTAATATCCAGAATATATAAAGAACTCTCACAATTGATTAATGAACAGATAAATAACCCAATGGAAAATGAACCAAGGATTTGGATGAACATTTCTCCCAAGATGTACTAATGGCCCATAAACACATGAAAAGATGCTCGACATTATTAGTCATCAGGGAAAGGCAAATCAGGCCATAGTGAGGTACCACCTCACACCCACTAGGATGGTTAGACTCAAAAAAAAAAATGGGGGGGTGAATAGCAGGTGTTGATGAGGATATAGGGAAATTGGAGTCCTCACACACTGTTGATGGGAATGTAAATTGTGTAGGCAATTTGGAAAACAATTTGGAAAACAAGTTTCTCTATAATTTAAACATAGAATTACAGTATGACCAAACAATTCTACTCCTAGTTATATACCAAGAGAATTGAAAACAGGTGTTCACACCAAAGCTTGTACACATTGTACACAGTGTTCATAGCAGCAGTAGTCACAATCGCCTAAAGATGGAAACAACCCAACTGTCCATTAATAGATGAATGGATAAACAAAACGTGGTCCATCCGTACAATGGAAGATTACTCAGCTCTGATATGTGCTACAACATGGATGAACCTCAAAAACAACATGCATTATACACCAGAGACTGACACATTGTAAACTGACTATACTTCAGTTAAAAAAAAAGGCAACATAATGCTGAGTGTCTTTCATAAAAGGCCACATATATGATTCTACTTATATGAAATGTCCAGAACAGATCAATCCACAGACAGAAAGCAGATTAGTGGTTGCCAGGGGCTGAGGGAGAGGGATGGGGAGGGCCTGCTCCTGGGAACTGAGTTCCTTTTGGGATGATGGAAGTGTTCTGGAATAAGATAGTAACGCTGGTTGCACAACATTGTGAATGAACTAAATGCCATTGAATTGTTCACTTTAAAAGGGTGAATGGGGTGGGGAGGCTATAGCTCAGTGGTAAAGCACATGCTTAGCATGCACAAAGTCCTGGGTTCAGTCCCCAGTAACTCCATTAAAATAAATAAATAAATAAACCTAATTATCTTCCACTTCACCCCCCCAAAAAACCACAATAAATAAATAAACATTTTTTTAAAAAAACAGCAGGTTAGATGATACAGAAGAATGAATAAGCAGTCTGAAAGACAGAATAGTAGAAATCACCCAATTAGAACAGACAAAAAGAAAAAAAAGGTAGAATAGTATGGTATGTTAATATATCTTAAAAAAAAAAGGAGCAGTGGGCAAAGGTGCACAGTTAAGGGAAGGGCATTTTACTTCAAGCCAAGGGCCTGGCATCTGCAGGGCACAGGCCAGGCCAGGGCTGTTCTGTGTCATCTCCTGTGGCCATGGTCCCCAGAGGCCCCTGATACTCCAACCCTATCCCAGTTCAAGGGAAGAGGCAGGGATGACATCTCTTTCTGACCAAACTACCCAGAGGCTGCTGCAGAGACAGAAGAGGGAGGTATCTAGGAAGGTAAACTGAGGCAGCCTGTCTCACTGATGGAGACACACATCCTGACTCATGGTAGGAACCACAATGTAAGAGAGAGTCATACCAAGGGAGAAAGAGACAGAGGAGAGGAGGTGATAAAGAGTGCAAGGGCTCTGGAGAAGCCACCTTACCCATTTTACAGACTGGAATACTGAGGCCAGCCAGGCTTAACCAGGGCTGAACCACAGCAGGAAGAATCTTTGAACAATTCACAAGTCAGGTCTCCTGGAGAAGGTGTGGAGAAAAGGGAACCCCGTCTGTGGGAATGTAATTTGGTGCAACCACTGTGGAAAACAAAATTAAAAATGGAGTTACCATATGATCCAGCAATCCCATTCCTGGGCAGGTACCCAGAGGAAACTTTAATTCAAAAAGATACGTGCACCCCAATGTTCATAACAGCACTATTTACAATAACCAAGACATGGAAGCGACCTAAATGTCCATAAACAGATGACTGGATAAAGAACTTGTGATATATTGATACAGTGGAATACTACTCAGCCATAAAAAAGAATGAAATAATGCCATTCACAGCAACATGGATGGACCTGGAGATCATCATACTAAATGAAGTAAGCCTGAAAGAAAAAGAAAAATATCATATGATATTACTTTTATGTAGAATCTAAAAAAATCACACAAGTGAACTTATTTACAAAACAAACAGGCTCACAGGCATAGAAAACAAACTTAAGGTTACCAGGGGGGGATGGGGTGGGGAGGGATAAATTGGGAGTTCAGGATTTGCAGATACTAACTACTGTATATAAAATAGATAAACAACAAGGTCCTACTGCATAGCACAGGGAACTATATTCAATACCTTGTAATAGCCAATAATGGAAAAGAATATGAAATGGACATACATACATACATATAAATACACATATATACATATATATGTATAACTAAATCACTATGCTGTACACAGATATTAAGACAACATTGTATATTGACTATAACTTTTTAAAAAATCAAGTCTCTAACTCCCCTGCTCCAGAACTTCCACTTCCATCTCCCACCAGCCCAAGAACAAACCTCCTAGGTTCTCAAGCCCCTGTGGGCTGTGTCCTCTATCCCTCCTCACCTACTCCCCACCGACCACATCTGCCACAGGACTTTTGCTCTCGCTGTTCTGGTCTTTCTTCACCATCTTGGCCCTCATTACCACCTCTTTCAGGAAGCCCTCCCTCACTCCTGTTTTTCATACTGTCATTTGTCACTCTCCCAGGTTTATTATAATTCTCTTTGTGGTGATTAGATTAGCATCTGCCTTCCTCACCCAACCAGGAGCGCCTCATGGCTGGACCAATTCTGACCTGCGTGGGACAGGAATTGGTATGGAGTAGGTGCTCAACATTGATTTCCTGAATCAATGAATGAATGAAGCTGTGAAAAGGGGTCTACCACAGTCCTGATTCCTGGAGCAACTGGAAGGATCTGAGAGATCAACACTCAGAGGAGCCTCAGAATAATAAGTTCATAGCAGGTGCTCAGTAAACACTGGGACAGGGCTCTGCTAAGCAGGGTTGCCCGACCCATTGAGCATTCAGACCAGTGCCCTGAACCCTTTCCTATCATATAGATGGGCAAGTAGAAGCCCAGAGAGGAACCTCCTGTGGGTCATTTTCCAGCAGCCGAAACAGACTTCAAGTGGCTTTAAAGAAAAGAGAACCAGTATGGCGAGCTTCAGGCTTGGCTGGATCCAGGAACTAAGATGCCAACTCTCTGTGCTTCTGTTCTCTCTGTAAGCTTCTCTTCCAGGCATGCTCAGCCTTCCCTGTGTAGAAGAAAGGTGTACATTCTCCCCATTCATTTTAGCAAGAATTTCTGGTGGTGGTTAATAAAAATCAAATTCCTACTCCTTTCACCCAGGTGCTGTGCCTGTGGATAAACTTGCCAGCTCGAAGGGCCACTAACTGGGTCCTGTGCTGCTGGTGGACCCAAAACTCTAACGGCCAGCACGGGGGGCATTTAGCTCCTTAGAGTCTCCACTGTGCATGTGTGCGTAGGATTCTGGACTGGAGGTGGGTAGCTCTGAGCCCCTGGGGTCAGGTCACTGTGGTCTTTCTCATGAGATCACTGACCCAGCATCCTCTTCTTTCTATCCATTTGGCCCTGCCACTGTCCAGGCCTCCCCTTCAGGCTGGTGCCCAGGCCTAAGGAATGAGGAGGCCTGATCCTTAAGGGAGGGCTTATCTGGTAGAGGGCAGGGCTTGAGCAAGAGCTGAGAGGCGGCAAATCCAAGGGAGGGAGCATGCGCAGAACAGTGAGCAGCCACGGAGCTCTGGGGGCCAAGTCTTCTTTCCCGATCTAGACACATAGGTGGGAAAACTGAGGCCCCCAAAGGGGAGGGGCCTGAACCTCTAGCTTCCCGGCTCTACCAACCAGACCTCCCTCACCCAGAGGCCTCATCACTTTTTGCCGCACAATTGAGTGGTTCTGGGTTTTAATCTCCACCCCGCACTCTCGCCGGCATTTAAAACCGGAAAAGTCTGTTTTTCAAACTCCGCGGCAGGCGGGAGGGGGCTGGGCGGGCTGGGCCAGGTAGACACGCGCCGCTGCTGCCACCTGGTGGCCATGGCAGGGAATCCGAACAAGGGGAGGTCTGGCGGGGAGGGTACAGGAGGCAGGCGGATTCAGGGTGTGTATGATGTACGAGGGCCACGGATTCTGCTGCGGGGCTTTGGGTGTTAGGACGAGGGAAGAACCCCAGGTCCTTGCCTGAGCCCTGGGCGGAGGGGCGGGGCTAGGGAGACAACCAAGTCTCCTGCTGTGAGGGGACTCAGCCCCAGTCCCAGTCCCAGCTATGTCCACTCCCCCAACCCTGCCTCCCAGTCCTAACTTTGCAGAGTTCCGAGTGATCATGTAGTTCTGTCTCCCACAGATTGGATGTTCTGGGGGCACCCAGACAGAGAGCTTAATAAATGTGTGTGCAATGAATGAATGAATTCTCAGGCTCCTAATGGGGAATTTTGAGCAGGCCATTCAGGCTTCAGTCAGGGGGAAAACACTATTTATTAACCTTTAGACACAATTCCACCCTCAGCAACTCTGTGAGGTCAACATTATTATCATCCCAATTTTTCAGGGGAGAAAACTGAGGCCAGAGAGGAGCCATCGCCTCTCTCAGAATGCTTAAAGCCTCATTCTTTTCCCCACAGCTAGATCCTCTAAGTCTGGAGAACCTGCAGTGTAGCGGGGAACTCTGCACCTAGATTCCCCATCCAATGCTTCTGGGACAGGATGCCCAGCCCAAGACCCTGGAATCAGCCTGAGCCCCTTTGGGCCCCCCAGTCTATCCCACCCCACCTCAAGAGGCCAATGACAGCGTCTTGCCCCAGAGATGTCAGGCTCTGTCCTGGGACAGCAGCTTCCGTTTCATTTCATGACGGTTTCTAGGGTTCCCACCACAGGACATGTGGCAACAGGGGCTGGACTGAGTGTTGGTGGGGGGCAGTGGCCCCAGAGCCCAGGGAGTGGGAATGGAGTCCAAGTCACTCCGTCTGGGTTTGACTCCTACCCATGCTATGTGGCCACAGGCGAGCCACTTGCCCTCTGTGAGCCTCACTGAGGCTCAGAGAAATAGGTAAATAGGACAGCCATGTACCTCCAGGAGGTTATGGGAATTCAGAGCATCACGCAAGTGTCTGGACGGAACAGGCTGACTACGTAATAAGCACTTAATAACCAGCCGTCGTGATTGCGATCATCAGTCTTCCTCTCTGTAAGACCTCCTCTCTGTTTCTCCTTGGGAACCAAACCTGGGGGTCTGCCTTAGGTCTCTCAGGAGCAGTGAGAGTCCAGCCACCTGGGCAGGGCTGCCCTCCAGACCATCCTGCTGGCCAGGCCCCAGAGCCCCAGCCTTGGGGCATCTTTGCACTTGTCTCCTGTCCTCCAAGGGCAGCTCCAGGTCCAGGTCCAGTGCAGGGGCACCCAGAGGCAGCTCTGTCTTCTCCTTGAGGGGCTCGGGTATGTTCAGGTCAGCCCCTTCACCTTTGTCCCAGGACATGTTCACCACCAGGGCCTCTTGAGGGGACACCTCCTCCGGAAAGTCTGCCAGGCTAGTCCACTGCCAAACCTGGAGAGAGAGAGTGGGGTCAAGGCTGTGGGGGGGGGCCCTGTTTCTCATCCACACAAGGGTGGAGAGGACCAGATCCCTTCTGGCTAAATTCTCTACAATCCTGAGACCAATTCAAGGATCAATTGGAAGGGCCTCCCATTTCTTTTTGGAAAATTGCCTCTGGCCTTCTCATAGTTGATGTGGTTGGGCAAGGCAGCAGCCCAACACCGGCTCTAGCAATGGGCAATTGATCCTGGCTCAGCCAATCAGAGCACTCCAGCCCCCTGGTTCTAGTGATAGACTCAGGGATGGGCATGTGACCCAAGCTGGGCCAATCAGTGATGGCCCTGAGAATTTTGCTCCAGTTAATGGAAAAAATGGATACCCTGCTTCCATGGGTAGAAAGCTGAGCCTGCCTGGGAGAGAAGCCTGCAGGGAGGATAGCATCACAGAGAAATGGAGTTCTAGTTCCTGGATTCAGCCATGCCTGAAGTCCACCACTGCGGGATTTTTTTTTCCCCCCAGTCAGGTTCTTTTGTGGAGGTCACTTTGAGTTCTGTTTTGGCTACTAGGAAATGACCCACAGGAGGTTCCCCTTTGGATTTCTGTTTGTCTGTCTATAAAATAGAACAAGTTTTTGGAGTCCTTGCACCAATGGGATATTGGTGCATCAGAATAAAATGAGTAAATGCATGGCCATTACTTTTTAGAGCCCTGGTCCAGGATCCAATAAACAGGACCTGGAATAGAAAAGGAGCCCTTACCTGCTTCCCCTGGCTGCCAGAGAACTCAACAGCAGTGCTGGCACAAGGTGTGGGCAGGGGTGGGCACAGGTGCCTTATCACCCTGAGGAGGGAAGAGAACCGGTCAATGCTTCTGTGTGTTATTTTTTAATTGTTCTGACTTTTTTTTTCCATCTCCATTAGGTTATAAGGGGGATGAGGATGTGGATTAGGGGACAGGAATTTGGGAGTCTTACAGACCTGGGTTCAAATCCCAGCTCTGTTCCTACTGCTGGATGCTCTGGGCCTAAGTATCTGGCCCTCAGTTTCCTCACCTCTAAAGTAGACATAAAAACCTACTTGGTGTGAGCAGTTGTCACTATTTTTACTTTCACTATGACGGAGCATCTCGGGAGAGAGGGTGCAAGTTACCTGTTCAAGCCGAGGTACCCAAAGACTCCCAGAAGAAGGATGCTCACGAAGCTCCCCAAAGATGCAAGGAGGATGGACAAGTCAGGAAACTCAGAAACCTGGACTTCTGGGGGCAGAAGAGCTTGAGCTGAGGAGGGAGCTGAGAGGGGTGAGCCCTCCATCAACTCACTGCTGACCGCACCACAGGTCCCTCTGTGCCTCAGTTTCTTTCTTTGTGAAGTGGGAGGCCAGGGGCCCCACCAGCCCTGTGACTTCCAGGTAAACCCCTGGCACACAGCAAGTTCTCAGGACACTGTAGCTCCAAGCACCTGAACGCTGGGCCCAGGTGGTTGCTCCCCTGGACCCAGACCAGCCCAACGCATGCTAAGTCTGACTCACTGGTTCTCCTGGGACCAGATTTCACTGCAGGACAACAGGCAGGGACTGTGCCAGGAACAGGGATCATTTGGTCTCCAAATCTCTCACTGCCACACACCCCAAGACAACAGAGCCCACCTCCTTACCTTTGTAATGAGAGAAATTCACTCATTCATTTGCTCAATAAATAGCATCCCCTGCTCCCTCCCTCTCCCCAGGATCCCCATGGCTGGGGGAGGCAGAGCCCAGACAGAAACTTCCACCTAATCCCGAAGTGTCAGGCCAGGTAGGAGGGCCAGTCACAGTTGGGGCAGGGAGAGGCTGCCCAGGGGGAAGCCTGGAAGGCCTCCTGGAGGAGAGAGCTTTTGAGGTGAGTTTTGAAGGATCAGTAAGAGTTTGACAAGGGGACCAAACATTCCAGGTAGAGAAGACTGCAAGGGCAAGGCCATGGGAGTGTGAAAGAAGGTTCATGAGGGGAAGCTGCAGCCGAGGGGCAGGAGCAGGTCAGGCTGGGGCTTTCTCCTGAGGGGGATGCATGGGGAGGCCCTGAGGGATGGAGGGCCAGGCAGGACTGCTTGCAGACACTTGGGATGGGGAAGTGCATGCTGGGTAAATACACTCACCGATGCTGAAGCGCTGTGGCTGGCTCCAGACGCCCTGCCACCTCACTGTGTCTGCTCGAACCTGCACCGTGTAGGCTGTGCCAGCCTGCAGGCCTTGGAGGGTGACCTGAGTCTCTGTGGGTTTAACCAGCAGCTCTGCGGGAGGGAAGCAGCTGTGGGTCCCTGGACCCCCTTGACTCTGGACTCCACTCTGCCGGTGGAGATGGTGGCTCACTGACGTTTTGCTGAAAACGCTTCCCTAAACGTACCCATTCACTTCAAGCTTATTCGGAAAAATAGTCTTCATCAAAATATTCAGTGAATGATGCTGTTTTCCTCAAATTCTGACCAGGTTCCCCTTCACTCACTCCTCACCCACTCCTTTCCAGCCACATCTGTCTTCTCCTCACAGCTCCCTAAAGGCACCAGGCTCAGTCCCTGAACCTCAGGATCTTCACACTGGCTGTTCAGCGGCCTGGGTCATCCTTTCCCCAGATACCTACATGGTTTCCTCCTTCACTTCCTTCCCATCTTTTGGATCAAGATCAGGGTTAACTTTGTCTCAGTTGTTCCCCCTGTGTCCCCAGCACCTCAGCACACAGTAGGACCTCAGCAAGTCTTTGTGACATTGGATGACTTTAAAATAGAAAGCACTTCATAAAAATTCTTAAAATCAGAAGATAGTGGTTGGTCCCTCGAACCAGAAATCCATATTCTTTGTAAATTTTCCATAGGAATATTCTTCCAAAGAAATTTTGAGGGTTAAAAAAGAGTAAGATAATGCCATTTGCAGCAACATGGAGTACCTGGGGATCGTCATTCTAAGTGAAGTAAGCCAGAAAGAGAAAGAAAAATACCACATAATATCACTCATCTGTGGAATCTTAAAAAAAAAAAGGGACACAAATGAACTTTTTTTACAAAACAGAAACAGACTCACAGACATAGAAAACAAACTTATGGTTAACAGCAGGGAGAGAGGGAGGGAAGAGATAAATTGGGAGTTTGAGATTTGCAGATACTAACTACTATATATAAAATAGATAAACAACAAGTTTCTTCTGTAGAGCACAGGGAAATCTATTCAATATCTTGTAGTAACCTATAATGAAAAATAACATGAAAAGGAATATATGTATGTATATGTATGACTGAAACATTAGGCTGTACACCAGAAATTGACACAACATTGTAACTGACTAGACTTCAATTGAAAATAAAGGAAAGAAATTTCAGGGGAGTTGGTCAATTTGGCTGAATGAGCATTTGGTGCATTCATCTTCAGCAGTTTGACTTTTGGCAAATTGATTCCAGCTAAGCCACGCTGAATAAGTGACCGACTCCCACTTGGCCTAATTTACCCGCTCTAAACAACATAGGGTGACCAAGCAGATGGCAGGATGTCTGTGTCTGATGCCAGAGTGGCATCTTCCCCCACCCAGCATTCATGTGCTGGGCACCTGGAGGGAAGGTGGTACATGAACCCTGTTGCTGCAGAAGGTGGGTGAGCCAGTCTGTATCGGAAAGACTGTGTTATCCTGTGGGGAGGATGAGGCCTCCAGTGTGTGAATTGACAGGAGGTTCCAGCCCTGGTGAGACCTATCCTGTACATCCTCATTTCTTTCCCTCTGACGGAGCAGGAAGGGGTCCCTAACTGACTCAAATTCAAGCTTGTTCAATCTTTGGGCAGGTGAATCCCTCTCTGGGCCTCAGTCTCCCCATCTGTGGAATGGAGACAGTCATCCCCGCTCCACGGGAGTTGCCATATCGAGGGGCAATCAAGACCCTTGAGTCCAACTCTGTTGTTTTATTGGTGGGCAAACCAAGGCCCAGAGAGGGACAGTGAAGCTCCCAGGGTCGCACAGCAAGGCAGAACTCAAGACCAGACCCCTTCTTCCCCCAACCAGACCTGTGCTGCCTCACCTACCAGATACTTGGTTGCTGTCTTCATCCTGGTAGCGCACAACGTACCCCGTCAGGACGCCGGGGCAGGTGCTCAGCAGAGATGGCGTCCAGCCCACAGACACCGAATCCTGGCTGAGTTTCTTCACCAATACATGCTGTGGGCTCCCGGCCCCTGAGGCTGCAAGTAACACCGTTGCCATGTCAACTCCAAGGCCACTGGCTGAGACTTTCTGTCTGCCCAGCCAGGTACAGTCCTGAGATCCAGATAACCTTGGCCACAGAGTCAAGTAGACCTAGATTCAAATCCCGGCTCCACCACTCTTGGTATCATCACTTCCCCTCTCTGAGCTTCAGTTTTCTTATCTATAAAATGGCACAATGCCCCTTGGAGTGTCTTAGGAGTCAACTGAGCTGACTTCTATATGCCAGCTAACAGGCAGTAGGTGCCTCTAAATGGTAATCCCCCCTCCTGACTCCTAAGGATACTGTCAAGTCCCCTGGGGAGACCACCCTGCAGGTTTGGGCCACTCACCATTACCCCCAAAGTGGTAGGTGGACAAGACTGTAGACCACGAGGTGGGCTTCTCTGGGTGTGCAGAGGCAAAGATGGTGATGCGATAACACACCTTCTGCCCCATGGCCCCAGATGTTTGGCTCCAACTGTGAGTTGCTGGAAGGATTAACAACGGCCAGTCCAGTAAATAGGTTTTGTCTCCCTCTTCTGCACCCATACCATCTGCCAGGAACTCCTAGAGCACTCCTACTCATGCTTCAAAGCCCTTGTACCTATGTCCCCTCCTCCAGGATTCCTTCTGTATGCCCTCTCCAACCCACCCCTATCCTCTCCAGCCCAGCCCCTGCTCCATGGTGCAGGGTGTGTCTGTATCCAGCTCTCTCTCCCTGGCTGGGAGCTCTTTGAGGGGCAGGCTACAACTGAGGCTTCCTGGGGCCCCAGCCAGGATCAGGGCAGGACGTGGGAGAGTGAGAGGCTGCCTGGGCCATTTGGCACCATCCCCGCATTTCCCTCCAAAGGCCTTATTAATTTGCCACCAGCATCTTGCTAACTGCTGTCTTTCCTGGCACAGGTGAATGTTTAATAAACACCCTTAGACGTGAGACTCATTATTTACCAGGGTGCAATCTGCCCAGGGCTGAGCCCTGACTCTCCAGGATCCTGGCAGGAGGCTCTAGACCTGCACAGCTGGGAGGAGCTGAGTCTTGGCCTGTCCCCACCTCTCTGTGACCTTGAGCAAGTGACAAGACCTCTCCAGGCCTCAGCCACCCCAGATGGATGATGCTTGTAGGTTTGAGCTGACCAGGAGCACTAATGGAGGATGCAGGGGCAGAGGCAGGACAGCTGACGTTACGGTACCCATTCCAGCAGGGTCCCCGTCCTGAGGTGCCGTCAGGGTGCAGGTGACAAGACTCTTGTCCTGGCCCTGGGGCTGCCACTCAATGCAGTACGTCATGCCCTGGGCCCGGGCTGGCCAATGCATGGTGGTCCCATTGGCTCCATCACTGATATTCAGAGCCCCTGGTTCTGGAAGGAGACAAGGGAGGCACATCAGGAGAGCTACTGAAGGCTCCTATAGCTCCTATCCCACCCTCTTGCCAAGCTCTAACCCCACAGGGCGGGAAGTGCCTATATCTCATTCTGTCTCCCTACACTGGGGGCTGCCGTGTTGGGGGCTGGGCACAAAGGCGACAGTAAGGGCTGTATGAATGAATCGAGTCCTCCCCCAGCCTGACTGGTTTCCCTGCCAGGAAGATGCCTGGCCACCCACCACCCGCCTCGCCCAGCAGTGGGTGGCTGTGGTGTGGGACGGGACTCCCGGCCTGACCAGTACTCAGAGACCCAGGACACACTCCCTCAGTCTCCTGGGCTCATCTGTCCCACTCCCTACAGCAAAGGTATCTGCAGCAATCTGAGAGGTGGTACCAATTCCAGTTCTGGGGACAACAACTATCATTTATTGAGTTCCAACTGTATGCTCTGGGCCAATGTCAAGCATCTTATATGCACCGCTTTCCTATGAAGTGGGACCGTGATCTGCCAAATAATATCAAAACTGAGGCTCAAAGAGAGAGAGCCACCAGCCCAAGGTCACACAGTGAGGCCGTGCCCCAAACCAGACCAGGAGCTGACAGACCCACCACTGTGCCACCCTGGCAAGTGCCTTCATCTCTCTGAGCCTCAGTTGTCTCATCTGTGAAACAGGCATCCTCCTAACATTCTGCCATCGCAGGGTGGCTGGGTGCTCAGCAGAGCCAGGACTAGGGTAAAGCGAGTGGGGCACTTATGTCAGGTGTGAAATTTAAGGATGTGCCAAAGAACTCAGTCATCAAGATAAACACTGTTTCAGGGATGGGAGAGGGTGTAGCTCAGTGGCAGAGCACACGCTTAGCATGCACAAGGTCCAAATAAGTAAGTAAATAAATAAACCTAATTACCTCCCCCCAAAACAAAAAGCAAAAATGATTTAAGCTATATTTCTCTGATTTTTAAAAGTGAGTGATAAGGCTTTAAAAAATGATAAACACTGTTTT